TCGTGATGACAAATTCAGGCAGATACACCTTCATTTCATCATCTACATAAGCATCCCCCGCGTGTGTCAAAGTGAGAGGATACAGTCTATTTGCCCCAGTTTCACTCCTTGTGTCTGAAAGACTCCTCATGCTTCATTTGACAGCACGGTTTGAACAGGCCCAGAACCTGACCATATTCCCAGTCATCCCTCAGCTTTTAATTTTCCCAGTGCTTAAAAGTGTCAGGCTGCAGGAAAAAAAGCCTTTCTGTCGTTAAATTCCACTTTGCTGTGGGCACCTAGGGGATTATAGGTAATAAGTTAAATATTAACAGAGATAGACAGGGTGGCAGATTGAGGTAGGCTGGCTGAAAATCCCAGAGTCGTCGTCAAAACTTAAGTAGAAACTAACCCTTCAATATACCTCGTAGTATCTCCTTTGAGAAACATTTTCCTCTCTGCCCTGTGAAATTTCCTACATGTCTATCTCCTTCATTCCAAGTAACACTTTATCCACTTTGCTTCATGGGCGAGACAGAGCAAGAAGTCCATTGAAGTAGGTCTGTGGATCTGTAGAAACTAAAAAACTTTCCTTCTCTACCAAGCCAATGTAGAGATCTCTCTCCCACTCCTCCAATAGCAACAATCTCCGTTCCTACAAAATTACCATCAACCATCCATGGATCACTTGGTTCCCTTCGGATGCTGCTGGAAATTTTAACTCCAAATGACCCAACACTTTGCAGTGAAGCAACTGAGGCATCATCTGAACCTTAATTGTTAAATGTTGAAAGGACAGCCCGAGAGGGTGAGTTCCTGGCGGATGGGCGCCATTGGCATTCTTCTGTGTATTTCCTGGGGTTTCTAGCTCACGGTTCTACACATAGTAAGCCTTCAAGTGATGTTTATAGAACTGAACTCAAGATAAGTGAGCAAGTTCATTATCACCGTAAAGGAAAAGAGTGGCTCATCCGCCTAATTATTATCTTATTCCTTCTCGTCACCACCTACCCTTCTGCCTCGTCTCTGGCCACTCCAAATATTGGTCCTGTAACAGCCATGAAGGGGAAGAAACTAAAAATGATGCATAAGAATACCTTTAAAAACTGACATGCTATATGTTATGTGCTTTCTCTATCTCTACAGTACTGTGCCGTCTGTCTGCTGAATATTTATGGGTAATGTTAATTATCAGCACCAAGGAAACCCTATTTCTTATTTTTAAACTACATCAATTCTTTAGATTTCTAAATCAATGTCAATTTACCGAGAATATCACCTTTTGCACTCCGTACTGCTT